ATTTCGAAAAAAATTTCCCCACTGTCATATCTGTTCTTTCTCTAGCACAATATAAATACTGCCCTGTGTTGCTGATAGAAACTCGGAGACTATATTCCCATTTTTTTCCTTAGATTTTGAGTAGGGGTCCACCAATAGATTTTAGGGGCCAGTACTGATACCTGATATTTAAGGAGGCATATTGGCTGATACTGATCTAATACAGCTGCCTCCAGCTGGTAAGTCTGGTGTTATGGAAGCGGGGGAGAGGGAAGGAGCGTTGGAGGTGGAGCAGATCAGCACCCCCCTGCGGTGGGGAAGGGGGCAGGGGCAGTTGCTGCCGAGCTGTGGCGAGGTGGAGGGTGTGGGATGGAGCCACGGCTCCCACCACTGCTTGCACCCTGGGGGGCAGGGGGCACATGCCCGCAGATCTGTGCAGCACAAAGCAGGCTGCAGCGGTGGGGTGGAGTCGGTGCTATGCGGGGCTCTTGTTGCCGGGGGCTGGCCTCAGAGCAGGCTCTGGCGGTGGTAGGTGGAAGCTACAGCCACCCTAGATTTTCCGCACTCTGCTCCCAGCCCTGTGCCGCTGCCCAAGGCAGCGGTGGCTTTTCCTGGCACTTTGGTGGAGGCAGTGCATTCAGCCAGGGTTGTGCCAGGCAGTGGCGTGGAGCTGGGAGCAGAGCTGCAGTGAAATATGGGCCAGCCCCTGCCGAGTCATTATTGACTCCAGGATGAACGTGGGCCGACAATGCGAGGTCATGGTTGGCAGGGCTAACCGGACCTTGTCGTGCATCCACAGGTGCATCTTGAGTAGGGCCACGGAGGTGATCCTCCCCCACTACGCGACGCTTGTCAGGCCACAGCTGGAGTATTGTGTCCAGTTCTGTGCGCCCCATTTCAAGAGGGATGTGGACAACATGGAGAGGGTCCAGAGGAGGGCCACCCGCATGATCCGGGGACAACAGGGCAGACCCTACAGTGAGAGACTGCGGGACCTGAACCTATTCAGCCTCCACAAGAGAAGGCTGAGGGGGGACCTGGTGACCGTCTATAAACTCACTAGGGGGGACCAGAAGGGTTTGGGGGAGACGCTGTTTCCCCTAGCGCCCGCTGGCATAACAAGGAGTAATGGGCACAAGTTGATGGAGAGGAGGTATAGATTGGACATCCGCAAGAACTACTTCACAGTTAGGGCGGCTAGGAGCTGGAACCAACTTCCAAGGGAAGTGGTGCTGGCCCCTACCCTGGGGGTCTTTAAGAAGAGGCTGGATGCCTACCTGGCTGGACTCATTTGAGTCCCGTTTCTTGTTTTTGGGGTTTTGTTGTTCTCCCGCCCTGGCGGGGGTCGGGCTAGAAGATCTACTAGGTCCCTTCCGACCCTTAATCTATGAATCTATGAGAAGAGCCCTGTACAGTGCTGGCGAGAAGTGCCTTGTGCAGCGCAGATCCAGGGGCACAAGCCACAGCTCTCCCCTACACCTTCTGTCTGCCCTGGCTGGGCAGCGCCTACCCCACTCCCTCACTTGCTGTTGGGGGGCACTGATCGCCCCCCCACACACACACACCCTCCCTCCCCAGTTCCCTTCCGACTTACCAGCTGGAGGCAGCTCTCCATGTTGCCGGCTCTGCTCCCTGCTGCACTGTGGCTGCGTGCAGCAAGGGCATTTATTAGTCAATTACTGGCCCCATTGGGCTGATATCCGTTATAGACTATTTTCTTTATATTGGTACCAATCCAATATTAGACTGAAGTATTGGTGCACTTCTAATTTTGAGTGCCACTTGTTGATTTGATTGCTTGAATAATACAATATGCTCTCTTCCCTTCCTTTTTCATTTGCTTTCCATAGTAGTGGTAGCTTGTCCTAGAGGCTGATTTCCTTTCCCTTCATTTCTCAGGATTTGACATTTTTGGTCACCTGTAATTTAACTATGCAGAGAGAAATTACTGTTAATTTTATAGAAGCCTATTGTTAAGACTAGAAATATGCATCTGCTTCGTAATGTCTATGGTTCTAGGAGTCTCTGTGCTTTCTTAACCAGAAAAAATGTGACAGGGAGTTCATGTGCATATGAGAGGGGGAGAGAAGTAATGAAAATGTAAACTGCATATTTTTGGAAAGCTTGCGGACCAGATTTTCTCTTATACCCATGTGTCTCTGTGGGAGTCAATGAAGTTTCACTTATAATGGAAGGGAAATCTTGGCCCCAAGAAATTAAAATGTATCAAAAGACTTGAAGTCCTATGTAAGTATGTTAAAGCATAACAAGTAAAGAATATCTGCTAATGTCTCAGAAATTGTTTTTTAACCTCTGCTATTGTGGTGTACCCAGCAGTTTTGGCCCATGGGTATTTCCACAGCAGAATTTGCTGGTTTTTATTAATTTTTGACAACTTGATTACCACTTGAACAAAACTTCATGTGTTTTAAGCTTGAACCAGAAATTTTAGGGGAAAGTGATCTTTATTCACTCCTAATCACTTATTTATTTATACCAGTGCTGTGCCTTAAGTTGTTTCATGAATATTTTTATTGGAAGATGCCATTTTCTAAGAGGTATATTGAATATTCCAGGGTAGTAGAAAAACCTGTTCCTGGCAGCAGTTTAAGAACTCTTCAGTTTGAAACTTTTTGAAAATATTCTGTGTCTGTCTAGGTGCCCTTACCAGTATTCCTTATCCCAGGCAGTGAATGTTCAGAATAAGAAACACTTTTTGAAAGGCTCAATAAAATATTTCATTCAAAAAATGTGATTCTTCAAATTAGCCCAGCATTAATTCTGAAATTTAAGCTTCATTTTTTTTTTTTTCTCAGAGTCCAAAAATCTTTTCCTTTGCTTTCTCCTAACTCTTCACATCTGGGGAAAAAGTTTGGCACACTTCAGATCTATGAGAAACTGTCTTAATGTAGATATTAAACTTATGAATTTTCTAAAAATTCAAGGCCATATTTTTGAGTTCAGCTACAAAAGCCAGGAATATATCTTAATTAGATGAAGTATTTCTAAGGTGTATAAAATATATCAAGCATAAAATCCTATTCCCTAAGACCAGTGACAAAACATGTGAGCAAGAAAATTATGCTTTTTACCAGAAAAGCTGCAGAGATGCCTAATGGCTGTCACAAAACCAGGTGTTCAAATAAATCTACAAATTGGCCATCCAAATTTCAACCAGTGTGATTTTTAGTTAAGAGATCTTTGTGGTCTGTTTTCTTTGCCGAAGAAGGATGGAGTGATTAATACTTTGTACCTTTTTTCAGTGTATGTAATTCAAGGGTGATCTTCTCATTCTGGAATCATTCTGCTGAGAGAATTCAGTGTAATAGATCTGGATCTTAGCAGAAAATATACCCAAGCTTATCTAAAAAGCACATCTTTTTTTACTTTTAGTAATCAAGTCTATAGAGCTGCCCACCTTGGCAAAGGTGAGCAGGATTTGATAGATATTCAATCTCTGTATTCTGCAGTAGGGGAACTTACTTTTTTCAGCATAGTTAGAACAACTGTTGACTTTTGAAGTCATGTAAATTAACTCAGCCAGCAGGCAGTCTGGTGCTCTTAGTGCCTGATTAGCAGGGATCCTGGTTTTCTGTTATTTAAAAAAAAATTGCAAATTCTCTGGTTTTAAAAAATCACAAAATCCATGGTTAAAATTTAAATGCCCTGCTGGTGTCCCTTGCTCCCCACCCACAACCCCTGCCCTGCAGCCCTGCTGGTTGGGGCCCCAGCTGCCAGGGCTACGGGGCCAGGGACCCAGGTCCGCAGCCCCCTGCCCCCAACTGAAGGCAGTGACTGCTACAGCAGTAGCATGAGCCAGCTCACCCCCTGCTGGCTGCCTCCTGCAGGCTTGGGCAGGGTGGTTCCCAGTGGCAGTGTGCAGTCCCAGGGGATGGAGGACCCGCGCCCCCCAGATCTGTGGGGGGGGGGGGGG